CCTCCGCACACAGATCACATCTCCTGGTGCTGTGCTGCGGTCACCTCTGGGGAGAACATGACAGTCACTGACAGCCACAGGATAACAGGTCAAGGAACCGAAGCAGAGCTCCCTGGTCTGAAGAGGAGCTGCTGGTTTGATGGGAGGGAGAGGCAGTCTGGCCTGACAGCAGGGATCAGCCGCAGAGGGGATTTAGGTGGGGTGTGGGAGGGAGGACAGTAACACAGCCCTGCTGCAAAGCTGCCCCCGCACCCTCTACGGGGCATCACATACCCAATATGGCATGGCATGGCACAGCAACTCTGGCCATCCTGCTCCTTCTGGCAGCCTCTATGGGATTTTCATCAGTCACCCACCGCCAGGGCCTGATCTTGCCTCACAGAGCTGCAGCACAGGGCTGGGGGAAGAGGAGGGCACTCTTCCCAAATACAGTCCCCATCTTGATGAATAAAGTCCAAGAACGGAAGCTGAAAAAAACACCAAAATAAAACCCTCCTGGCAGCAGCAGAGAGTAGTGACTCATCCCACAGGGAGCCTCCATTATTGCATGGGATGCAGTCAAGCAGCAACAAACCCCATGTGCATCCCCAAACCTTTCGAGTCCCCTCCCTTGGGAAGGGCAGGGATAGCTATGACACATCGCGAAATACTAGGCGCAAACTACCGTGTTTCATGTCTCGACTGCTTTTCCATTCACATTACACTATTCCAGCATCCTTCCAGCTATTTCTCTCCCTGTAGGACTGAAGCAGAATGCCTTACTTGAGCCTAGATAAATTAAACTGATCATATCCCTTTGCCCAGCAACCCTGTAATTTCTTTAGAGGCAGCAGCCGGGTTTGCTTGGGACGATCTGTGCTTTATGAACCTGCACAGCTCACTCCCTTCCCGCTGTCATAAGAGGCTGCAGATGGAGCAGAGCCGTGGAAGCAACAGCCTGGCTACAGCTGAGGCGGTAACTCTGTTTGTAAGTCTCTCTCAAAAGGCAGTTATTTAAAAAAAATTTAAAAAAATCACCCTTTGGGTGAAAATATTTCACACTAGCGCAGTCCAAAAGTGAATGGAGTAAATCTGAAGGGATAGAAGGGAAAGA